GATACAGTAGAGAAGCCAAATAACATGGATTTAAGTCTACCGGTGGAAAGCAAAGATTGGGATATACAAAATAAAATTCTAGGAGACAATGCAACCAAACGCCCAATGTACTTCAAGTTTTATGACAAAGTAAAATTAATTATTGATTAAAGGTAAAGCACCTTACCTGTTAAATTGATTTGTAATTTGGTGATGTCTTTAGCAACATTGAATTGATCTTTTGCTTTCTGATACTCATAATAATATAAAAATATATATGCACATTCCAGATGGAACTGAGTAGCCAGATATCGACCTGAGTCACCTACAAACAAATTCTCTTGTTTCATCACTGCAAAAGAAAAACATGAAACATTAAAAATTATGATGAGACAGGATAGCTACCAGAGCTAAATAAATTAATTCAGCAATGCCATAGGGTACCAAATCAACACACAAAAATCAGTTGTAACTGTTGAACACAAAGTTGTTGATCCAAAATGCAATCTCCTATACAATATAAAATTTAAAATTGAATAAAATAAAATAGATTAGAACAGGGAAAAGAAAAAAAAAACTTGTGATTTTGCACCCTAGCATTGAAATAGTCAATAGGAAATTAAGAAAACAATTGAATTTTCAATTGCATCTAAAATAAAACATCTAGGAATAAATTAGCCAGGAAGGTGAAAAGCCTACACATGGAAAACTATAAAAAACTGCAAACAGAAATTAAAGACCTAAAATGGAAAAACAACCCATGTTCTTGAATTGGAAGACTTAATTACTGTAAAGATGTCAGTAGCATTTAAAGTGGCCTACAGGATCAACAAAATCCATATCAAAACTTCTTTTTTTGTGTGATCCAAGTGGGTTTTGATGAGGACAGAAGTTGTTTCAGGTTTTAGTCACTGGACACAGGCAACCTCATGGACTGCACACCCAAACATGGTGGCCTGAGGCCAGGGAGAGGCCTTGGCATAGCCGAGCAGAAAACGGACAAGCAGGCCCTATCAAACTTCTAACAGCCGGAGGTAGATCTAAAGGGTGTGGAGGCTCCCCTTATGCTCCCAGCAACTAAGCCACTGGACAACGAATACAGACAAGCACAGATTTGGCATGACAAAATTCCAGACAGCAGTTCAGATGTGGAGAGTCAGAATGAGTCCAGAAGTAGGGGAGAGGGCCCAGCACAGCAGCTGGGAGGACCCACCCACTAACATCATGCGCACCCACTCCTAGCAGCCACTTTGAGACAAGGCTGGGAAACACCCCAAATAGGGAACTGATCTGAGGAAGCTCTAGCCAATTTTTTAGGTGGCAGAAACCGGCCATGCAAGTTTACGGGATGCACGATTGGGAGGGGCAAAGGGAGACCACAGCACTATGAAAGAAAACTGTAAAACCTCACTGACGCTGGAGGTGGACGAGCACTAGGACGAGCAGGTAGTACAGGGCAAAAGGAATACTTCAAACTGACCTGGTGACAGAAATGACACAGGAGATGGAAAATTTTTGCCAAGGTGATACACAGGAGTTGATTATTCTGTGCCCTATCCATTTTGTAGAGCCCTGGTGGCTTTGCCAGGTGAACGTTGAGCTGGTTGCCACAAGTCAGTGCTTCCAGTGCATCAGTGGAGGCTGTCTACGTATCTACAGCCTCAGAAACCATGGTTGTTAGGAGTCTGAACTAGCTCAATGGCGGTGGTTGGTTTGACGGGGGCTTATGACGTGTTATTCACAGTGATTTTTCATAATAAGAAATATTTCCAGAGAGAAAGTAAATGCATCACGACTTCCAGGTGTTCTACCCTCAGAAGAGTGTGGGGCTGAGTTTGCATAACTTCTGGATTATGTAGTTGATGAAGCTCAGTTTCTCGGAGCTCGGTCATGGTCACCCATGGATTAACAGCTGTTTGGGACTAGATCCCATCTCCCATGACTCCTTGACCACTAAACTGCCTCAAAGACGTCAAGAAATCATATAAATGATGATGGGAGCCTGGGTGAAAATTATCAGAGATTCACCAGAGATAAACACAGTCCACAAGAAAATGAAATGTTGGGGTTTGTTTTCCCTTTAGAGACATCCCAATTTTTAATGTATAACAAAAGCACATAAAAAGAGAATCCCCCAAAAAAGATTCTCTAAGGCAGTGGTTCTCAACCTTCCTCATGCTGCGACCCTTTCATACAGTCCCCCATGTTGTGGTGCCCCCCTCCAACCATAAAATCATTTTCCTTGCTACTTCATCACTGTCATTTTGCTACTGTTATGAATCGGGTGACCCCTGTGAAAGGGTCGTCCGACCCCCCAAAGGGGTCACGACCCACAGGTTGAGAACCACTGCTCTAAGGCTTCAGGAAAATACATAGGATGTTACATTTATGGATTCTATACACCTTGTTTCTTGACCCAGATCCTAATAGAAGGCCCCAGCTGCCAGCTTATGAAGCAACAGGACAGAAGAATTCTCTATTACTCTAAGACCCCTGGGTTACGGCCAAATAACTATTACACCATACTTTCAGAGATGGGCAAGTAAAACTGTCCCCTCAGCCATTTCTGTGGCTGCATCTCTTTATGGAAGCACTCAGCCACATCTTCCTGTGGAGCAATTGGCAGACTCGAACTGCCAACCTTCTGGTAAGCACGTGAGAATTTAACCACTGTGCCATCAGCGCAGTAAGAAAAGTAAGGCAAAGCACCAAGCAGTATATATTCTATTACACTTTGTACACGAAAGAGAAGGGAGCATACAAAAAGAAACACTGAAAGAATAAATAAGAAGACAATAAAACAAAAATAACAAAAGGAAAAAGAGTAGATTTTAGAAGAGGAACAAGAATGTGCACAGGAAACTTCTCTGAACAGACTTTGTTATATAAGTATAGTTTTAACTTATGAATCATTAATGGTCTTCTTTTAAGTTAAAAAAAAAAAAAGTACATCAGAAAGGATGGCGGGGAGGCAGGGGGCAGGCATTCCAGAAAATTGAAAACAAATGGAAAAGAATAATCCTAACTAATAACAAATTGGCAGCAGGGGAAAGAATTATTTCAAGTGTCTTGTAACATTTTGACTTAGAGCACAGTGTACATCATAATGCCCTAGATCCAAGGACAACCAGAGCTGCAAGGGAGTCTTCAACTCATTCTGTGGCCTTACTGCTAGTGGAAACATTGGTATTGCTTTGAATAAAGCAAATAAGTACATACGCTATTCATGGGGGAAAGATTTTCAATTTAAGAAAACCAACAGTTCAAATATGAAATCAAAGATATATCTTCAAAAATTTTAATTTTAATTGGCATTGTGGATCAATGTCAGAAATTAGACCAAGAAGCCTACAATTGTTAGGGTTTGGCCTAACAATTCAGCTAACAGGAGGCCTGGTAAGACTGTTAAAAGTTGGGCTGCTAATCACATGGTCAGTGGTTCAAATCCACCAGCCACTCCACGGGAGAAAGATGAGGCTGTCTGCTCCTGTAAGGGTTCACAGTCATGGAACCATCTATGGGGTTACTATGAGTAGGAATACACTCAGTGGCAGTGGGTTTTTGGCTCCTCAGGGTGAGATCCCAGAGCATGAGCAGGAGTTCTTACCCAGGTTGGGAACTCTGGGACAGGAAGCCAAATCAAAGACTCAGCCAGCTTGTTTGCAAAATCCTGGGAGTCTGCTGGGCCTGGGGAACAGACTAGACTACAGTGCTTACTGGGGCAGAAGCCTCAAACTGGCCAGGGACTTGGCCAGCAAGTTCAACAAGGCCAGGCCAGAGTAAAGAGGTGGTCTCATTAACTGAGGCTAAAGACAGTTTTCTTGGTTTGGAGATTGGTTACATACATAAACTCTATTATGTTAGATTGAAAACAAAAGTACTGGTGTGAACCCAGGGTTTTTAATATGGAGATAAAAAGTAGAAATATAGATGTGCACGTGTGTGTGTGTTCCAATTATCTGCCACTGGTTTGAATCTCACAGTGACCCTATAGAACAAAGTAGAACTGCTTCCTAGAGTTTCTAAATCTATATAGGACAATATAGTCTCATCTATCTTGCACAAAGAAGCTAGTGGGCTTGAACCAGCTAGCTGATCAATGCTTAACCCAATACATTACCAGGAATCCTTTATATAAATATATATATACATATATTTCCTAAGGAGCCTTGGTAGCATAGAGAATTATATATTATGCTTCTAACAAAAAGGTTAGCAGTTCAAAACTGCCAGCCACTTGGAGGGAACCAGATCACCGAGGCGAAATGTACTGATTCCAGAACCGGAGAAGGCAATCGATCATTTATAAAACATCTTCAGTCAGAAAATAAAGAAGTAGTCAAAAACATGTCAAAAGGTACAGAAGTCAATGATAAAATGGGTTCCCACTGGCCAAAACTGCGATTACTTGGGAGTCAAAGAAACGAAAGTAACAGATTACAGCCCACTGAATAAATCAGGAAAATTCAAAAGTTCATACTAATATCAGCTTATAAAAAATAAATTCAAAGTTTGGTGAGAAACAGAATTTTTATATGGTCTCGGGCCATCTCACTGCAAATGTACCAATTAATCATAGAGGAGAAATCGATAACTTTCTAGCGAAGCACGCTGCCTGGCAATATCCTAGTCAAATGGCCAAAATAAACATTACTACCAAGACAAATGGAAACCATGGGTCATATCAATTCCATAGACGGCAACAAGGATACAGTACCTTTTCTGTGACATATTCCCACCAAAATAAATAACCTCAACTTAAAACATGAAAAACAGTAAAACCAAGAATATGGGACAACCTACAAAGCCTATATTGTCCAGGTCATGAAATAACAAGAAAAACTGAAAAATTATTCCATATGAAATGAGAGAATTAAATACACCTGATTCTAGACTGGATTGTCATTTTGCTACAAAGTACAACTGGCAAATCGTGGGTGGTAGCAATCAGACTGTAATATGTAGAAATGCTCATTTCCTAGTTTCCATGGTTTTATTTTATGTGTAGAAGGAAATGTCTCTGAAGGAAACATACTTAAGTACTCTGAAGTGTTAGCTATCTGTCAGCAACTTACTCTTAAATGGTTCAGGGAAAAGAAAGCTCCCTACACTTTACTTGTTATCAACCTTTTACCGTTTGAGAGTGTTTCCTTTTTTCTTTGAAAAACCTAGATCCTAAAATTATTGGCAATTAAAGAAAGTCAATTAGACATGTATCTTGCCCCCGCTTTTTTGAGCTGTATTTTAGGTTATCAAATAGGCCTGGATGATGCGGATGAGCTCCTCTGAAAAAGAACAATTCATTAAAATCATGTTGGTGGGGGGAGAGGAGTAAAAGGGCTGATAAAATTA